GCACTAAAACGAAGAAAATACAAATTATTACCTGATAATAGGGATTGCACGTAAGAAAGTTTAATAAAAAAATAATTATAGAAGACTGGTATATTGAAGTCACGTGGCTGAAGATGAAACTGTGTAAACATAGATTATATTGTAAACTACAGACACATATATATTTAATATAAAATTTACATAACATTAAAATGAACGCATTTCCGCACGGAGTTAAAATTATGCAATGTAGGTATTAAAATCATGTTAATGATTTGTCTGAACATTGATCTTACACAATCACATAAATATTTTCGTGTACAGATATTTTAAATTATGCGGTTATTCGCGAAGTTATAACTTATAACATACTATAAAGCCTAATAAAGTATAGCGAATTTAATATAACAATAACAAAAATGTCACAAACTAGGGATAGGAATATAACTACTAAATTACATCTTTTAAAAAGGGTAGGTATATACCTATTATTAATAGAAACATTGTCATGTATGTTAGATATTTAAAGCTAAAATAAATTAATATTAAAATAATAAAATTAATATACAATACCAAGATAACACGCACAATTTGGTCTACATATATTGAGATTTAAAGTTAAATTCGTTATTTATTATATTGAGTAATCAGTACAATATAAATTAATAGATATAAATTAATACATACATAACTAGATTTGTCTTTGATCTCTTCTAGCTAGGATTTCATCATAAAATTCATTACATAAATATGCCGCATAGTGGAATAGTATAAAATAAAAAGTATTTGATTAGAAACGATTAAATGATAAACAATGTGAATCAGAGAAAAGAATATTAAGATTTGTAAATATCGATCTAATCGAAAAATCTAATTTTTCGATTAGATCGATTCGATCGTACACATCTTTCTTCTTTCTTTCTATAAAAAAACCGAAAATGTTCACTGCTGGATGCTCATCTATGTCGAGACTGAAACCATGTTGTTGGTTGTAAATTATTTTAGATGCGTGTGTGTTTGAGTGCCTGGTCTTACAGTAAATAATTGAACATCGTTTGGCATGGTTACGGCGTCACTTGGAATCTAGGCAAAGTTTCGTCTATCTTTGTTATTGTGTAAAGTCTAAAATAAAGCCGGGTCTGCTGCGAGCTGCGGCCAGTCTTCGTTAGAAACAAGCCTCATCATTTTATTACAAATTATCCCAAGACCCCATGTACTACTCTTAGAACTCCATTAAAAAGAGAAATTCATGAATTTTTTCAAGGTTAAACAGGGGTTGAGCAAATTGGTGTGATAAAAATAATACACATATTTATATATAATAGACATACATATACTACAAACGTATATATATACAAAAAATAAAATAAATATATTGTATGGGATTATTTAATTAAATGCAATCAATATACTACATATTATATAATATTTAATGGGTTGTGTGGGATAAATACTCGTATGTCGACTGATATCGGAAAAACTTCAGCTTCGATCAACAATAAAAAATGTTGATCGAAGAACTTCAGTCTAAATTGATTTTTACTGCTATGTTCTATCCTTGGTATAAGTATGTCGCTGTAGATGTTGTCCAAAGCAATATAAGTTTTACCTTCCTCATAAAGTGCATTTTAGCTGAATTAAAAAAAATCAGTTCACTATTTTTTTATAAAGTGTTTTATTAAATTGCTGACGTAGCAGACTCGCCTATTGAGACGTTATTCGAACATTAACAGGTATACTAAGTGAACATGTAGGTACGGCAAAGGCAAGAGTGAGAGTCAGTGCGCTTAACTATCTTTGGCTGCATTACTGCTTCCCAGCGGGTTGCTTACACAGCGCTGGCTTAGACAAGTTAAAAAAACCGTACCATACAACACAGTAAATGACAAGTGAAAACTGAACGATATTAAAGTTTTATCTATGTTAAAATGAAGAACCACTAATAGTAAAATTACTGAGCTCAGGTCTTAAAATACAAAATTATACTGAAGAAACATAATACCTAAACATTATAGTATTTTAATGTTACGGTTGTGATAATGGTAGAATGAATCTGTCATAGTTACGCTAGAAATGTTAGTTGATAATCATATTAAGAATTATAAATTACTAGAACTTTACGTTATTTTAGAAGTATTCGTTAAAAATATAAAGAAAGGAATTTTTAAATGTTTGTATCATCCTTATTATTTTGTAATCCGTTGCATAGAAAAATAATTTATGTAAGAAAAGACTTCGAATTACAGCTAAGAGAAGATATATCGCTATTGTAAGAGTTATCAATTTAAAGATTGTATATCTTTTATTGCTAATAAAAAAAGATATGAATGTTAGTTCAGATATGTTTGAACTATGTCTAGGTGCCTATTCAAAACTTTGGTCCGATCTAAATCATTGTGCAGCCAATCGTAAGTTAGTTAGATGTAATATTATACAAAAGACCTACTCGTCCCGCTACGTTAAATTTTAAATTTACCAAGACTATAGTAGTGTATAATTTAATGTACAAGTGGTAAAATTCAAAAATTTGTACAACCGACTTTAATATAAATAAAATGAGAACATCATTAATGTATTCGGAGTCAATTAAATACATATTATTAAGGATAACTCAAAAACTATTGGTCAGATCTTGATCATGGGACCACATAGAAAGCATCAGTCGAATTAAGTACCTCCTCGTTTTGTGAAGACGGTTAAAATACAGAACTTAATTTAAAAGAATTTAAGAATAATATTGATTTATAAGAATGCTAAAATCGATACTTACACATAGGTCGAAAGGCTAGATACGAGTACATATACCGAGATGTTAGGGAGCAATCAACAGCGACATTCGTTTATAAATTACAACTAATCCAATTATAAATAATACATCCATATTTTACAACTATTAAATGCGCTCACCTCCACAAAACTGGAAACTAAATCAATCTTCGATATCAGGCAAGACTTAATGTTCTATATTATTATATTTTACGTGAGTATAAATTTTAAAGCCAATGCGTGTATAGCTCTACAAAACACAGGCAAAATTAGGCAAGATATGTTGTGCTTTTTATCTTTAGTTTAACAATAATAAAAAAACAAATTATAAAAAATATTAAAAAAAAAGAACACGTTCAATAAACTTACAGCATGTTACGGTTACTTACGTTCACATCAACAGTTTAATACTAATTTTTAATACATTAACAACTACGACTTCCATTCGTTACACTGTCACTTACCTACCGAAACACTTAACTTAATATATTGGTTTTTGTCTTGTCTTCAATAACGTGCCTAAAACGTTTTACATAAAATGACACTTTATTTAGATAGAATAGTTATATGTATAGTGCAAACAACTTTACTGTTCAGTTGACAGAGTCGCTAGTGCACAGCTTAAAAAAACATGCCACTTAAAAACCGATGAAATAGGTGACTACATATATGCACTTTTCACAATGAAATTAAAAAAAGCACAGTTTTCATAGCACAGAATATATAATAGCTTACAGCGAAATGTCATTTATAAAATGGCGACCTTAGTTCCAATTTTGTCCACCTGAACAGATAAGTTGGTGGCACTGTAACATATTTTAAAAATAAGAAAAGTCATGTGGTTGAAACCTGTATTGTTGGTTAGATCCGACACTAAAACAAACTAATTTTTATGAAGTGTGCATACTGTAATGTCAATTAAATTGATATAGATTATAAATGATGTGCTTGTATTACTTACTTTTTCTTTATATTCCTAATGAGATTCTTCAAAATCACTCACACCACCTCGCTTAAGTGCAAATTCTCAAATTAAGCCGAAGCTGTAACACATATTTCCTTTTTATATTAAAATAGAGAGTCCAAAGTCTAATCTCCGTTTGTGGAGATAACTATAATGTGATCCCGTATTTCCTTTTATTCATCTTCACATAATCCATATTAGATCTTAATCGATGAAATGTCTCGTATTGTATGACAGTTTCTTATTAATTTTTTTTTACATTAGCTGGATAGTAAATCAAATACCAAATTAAACAAATGTATTAAAGAGAGTAAAAATTAGAGATTCCGCGAATACTCGGTATTTTTGGCACTCCACATTTTTTGTTATTCGTCGAATGTCGAATAATAGCTGATATTATTCAACATTCGGCGAATAGTTGCCTAAAATAATAAACAAAAAACTATCGAGTCAAAAATAATCAAATTTTAATTAATTAGGTCCAAGAAAAGGGTTCCCAGCATTTAAAAAAGTAAAATCATAATGAGACTGATTTCTTTAACTTCATGGTTTTCTTTTTTGATTACAGTAACAAATAAATGATTGGTAAGTTCAAGACTACTACAAGCGTGATATTACTATTTGATAACAAATAAATTATTTTTTATATTCCTTTTTTACTTCGAGTGATACTGGCAAGTTATTGTACTATTCGCCATAGGGAATGGCGATTAATTGATATTCGACTATTCTCTGTAACAATTATTCGCGGCATCTCTAGTACAATAAAATTTTATTTATATAGTTTTGTTATAAAATTTTATATAGGATCAATGCCCAAAGTATTTAAATTAAATTTAAATTACGATAACAAAAATCTTAAATCTTAATTAACTAAATCTGAGACATTTCGTGAGATTATTTAAAAAAAGTCAAATTAAGAATCTTCCTTTTTATGAAGATAGTTACAAATTAAAATTATTTAAAAAAATTATACTTAATTTGTCCAAACCCTATTTCACCTTATAGCTGAATTTATATCAAATAAACAATCCCGAGACACATATAACACTACATGTAAACTTTTCCTTTTCCAATATGTCTGACCGTTGCTACACGTACATTTCTACCTACGCAATCCTTTATTAAAAAGTGTATAATTGTGTTACATTAATGGCAATAAAGTGGTCAAAAGCATACTGCGAAATTTTATAGAACACTCTGTAAATGCTTCAAGATTTAGACCACTTAATCATAGATGGTAAGAACAGCTTTGGTTATAGGACGGTTCACGTTCAAACCTTCTGTTGGATTACAGCAGGCCCCTGTCTAGTTCCTTGCGGAGCATTCTGGTTAGTTTGAGCACGTCTTCATCTATCTGCCCCGAGAAGAGGGAGTCCAAGAGATCTCCTCGTGAGGCGAGTGCGAAAACACCAGCTAACCGAGACACCGACTTATCGGACAAATGCCTCTCTACAACTGACCTGAAATAATCAATTAAATAATTAAAAGAAGAAAAGAAATAGTATATATGCTTAGAAAAACTTTCGAAAAATGGTTCTTGATGCCGAGTGATTTCAGGCCAACAGCGTTGGAGGCCAAGTAGTTTTGATTAAAACCTATGTATAATAACATAATTCTTACTTGAGCGACTGATGAGATTCACGCAGGGCGTCCTGGAGAAAACCGCGGTCGTAGGAGAAGTCCACCTCGCAGAACGAAACCACCGCCATTAACACCGTCTGCAAATGTAAAATAAATACAAATTATAAAGAAAATAAATTCTAGCGTAAAATAGCAGTACAACGCTGCTGTGTTTCACGTCGCAGTCACAGAGTGTTCGTTTGCCACCCTTATTCTATAAAAAAAATATTGCTATAAAAAGATTTTCCATAGAATAAAGGTGACAAATGACCACAACAGAGAGTTACCTGATGCTGAGTAGAAGCTGTGGCCCATAGAAATCTACATGTCACCCCTGAGGACTTAGATTGCCAATTATTTTACTTTAAATTAAAAAATATACGTATTTCATCACGTAAATGTGATTTTGCTGAGTATTAATTATAATAATATAAATTTAGTGTTAAACATCAGGCTTATAAAGCCTACTAAAATAAACTAGCAATTGAAGTATACTTATATATGTGAGTAAGTTAAGCCTTAAGTAATTAGGCCAAACTAGATTGTCCTGGGCTAAACCAGTATATCCTAACACGCTTCGGATAAATCGATTTGGCTGGTAACGTACATAATATATAATCATCATCATCATTATCATTACAGCCTATCAAAAGTGAACTGCTGAACCTAAGCCTCTTCAATAGACTACCTGATGAGGATCCCATCTTGGAGCAGTCATTAATATGTCACGCTTTTTAAGCTTGGCAATTAAGTAAAAAAACCCTTCAGTCAGTGGGACGTATATAGGCTGTAAGTTTAACTTTTTTAACTTTAAGTAAGTTGGCAACTGCAGTTTTTATTTTTTTTATTTTGATTCGTTATCAGGAAGTTGCAGTTGCCCATCTCCACTTTAATTTCTCTCCGTCGACACCTTCTCCTCTTATGATACCTACATACAGGTGATACGGGGTAGCGGATTTTCCTACACCGTCACTACACGGTAAAAAAATAAACCTTTTAGTGAAACAAATACTGTTAATTTTTATAGAATAAGGGTGACAAACCAGCACACAGTCTACTTGATAGTAAGTGGATGCTGTGATCCATAGATATCTACATTTATCTTCAATTAAGAATCAAAATGAAGATGCGTTGCCAGCCCTTAGGACTGAAATGTAATTAATGCCTTGTTTCCAGTAAAAAGGGTTCCGGTTCTCTACACTCACCATACGAAACACAGCAGCGTTAAGCTGCTATTTTACTCTGGTATTCTGTGAGAGGGTGGTCCTACCCCGGTCGAGCCGACCCATTCGTGCGGCAACCACAAATTAGCTAAACGGAATGACTGACTTAGATAATAAATTCAATAGGAGGTATTAAAAATTGTGATTACGTGTTCTTTGTAAGAAAGGTCAGAAAATTAAGCTGTACAAGCTGGAAAAATATAAACATATTGAACGTACATGGAACTTGGCGCGGAAAGCTGCGAGCGCTCGCTCGTCGGTGGCGGACAGCTGTCCGTGACGCCGCAGTACTCCCAGCTTCACCGCCGCTTTGATCACATGCTTCACCAGCTTCTCCGCCTCGCGCTTCTCAATGCGCTCGCGCAGCACGCTCAGAAACTGTCACAACAATACATTTATATTAACGTGTGGACTTCTTACACACGTGGTAGAGCCATTTAATGTAATGCCATAGAAGGTTATTATATGTGGTAGAGCCATGTAATATAATGCCATAAATGGTTATTATACATGGTAGAACCATGTACTGTAATGCCATAGAATTATATGTGGTAGAGCCATGTAATATAATGCCATAAATGGTTATTATACGTGGTAGAGCCATGTAATATAATGCCATAGAAGGTTATTATACGTGGTAGAGCCAGGTAATATAATGCCATAGAAGGTTATTATATGTGGTAGAGCCATGTAATATAATGCCATAAATGGTTATAATATGTGGTAGAGCCATTTAAAGTAATGCCATAGAAGGTTATTATATGTGGTAGAGCCATGTAATATAATGCCATAAATGGTTATTACACGTGGTAGAGCTATGTAATGTAATGCCATAGAAGGTTCTTATACGTGGAAGAGCCATGTAATATAATGCCATAAATGGTTATTATACGTGGTAGAGCTATGTAATGTAATGCCATAGAAGGTTATTATATGTGGTAGAGCCATGTAATATAATGCCATAAATGGTTATTATACGTAGTAGAGCCATGTAATGTAATGCCATAGAAGATTATTATACGTGGTAGAGCCACGTAATGAAATGACAAAGTTATACATGGTAGAGCCATGTAATGTAATGCCATAGAAGGTTATTATATGTAGTAGAGTCATGTAATGTAATGCCATAAATGGTTATTATACGTGGTAGAGCCATGTAATGTAATACCATAGAACGTTATTATATGGGGTAGAGCCATGTGATGTAATGCCATAAATGGTTATTATACGTGGTAGAGCCATGTGATGTAATTCCATAAATGGTTATTATACGTGGTAGAGCCATGTAATGTAATGCCATAGAAGGTTATTATAAGTGGTAGAGCCATGTAACGTAATGCCATAAATGGTTATCATACGTCGTAGCCATGTAATGTAATAAACGGATATAACCATAGAAGGTTATATCCGTGGTAGAGATTTTATTCGTTACAGCAATTTATACCCTCCTTAAGATAGGAATCAATAAATTAACAGTAAGATGGATTGTACCAAAGTAGAATTAGTTCTTAAAACCGTTCTTCTTAGAATAAGTTATGAACAACCTACAGGAAGGCACGGAAATCAAGGATAATAATTATCCTTGCAAAATGGCAAAAAAACATTTTGAGCCAAAAACAACGACAAGCACTTATATAGAAAAACATATGCAGCAATAATTACCTGATCCAGTAGTTTCGCAGCATGTTCATCGAGAATCAGGGCTCGCGCACTCGCTGCACCGCCCACTCGAGAGAGGAACTTCTTCTGCGCCCTCAACGAGATATCTCGGGCGCACCACGCACCGCCTTCCATCGCTGAAGCAAACACAACCATTAAAGAATTAATAATGTCACTTCAAAAGTGTCTTATGTTCTAAATATAATAAAAAACAATATCCTCCATACTAAACTTCGGTCACGGCTAAAGACTTGCATTTTGCGCTAGACAGTATTATAGTGCACGAAAGTGTGCGCAATCACAGGCGCTCTACCTATTTCCTTTCTTCCATAACTCGACACGGCCGGAGAGATATCAGATAATGAACCAACATCCTAACGTGCTTACCGAGGCACGGGGGTGAAACACCACCAACTTACTGATCCCGAGCTGCTACCGAGAATATACTGACTGAAAAACACAATAACTAATTTAGGGCCGACCAGGGATTCGAACCCGAGACCACACGATCAGTAGTCGCGTTCAAGGACATTATATCAACGACACAGTCACAGAGAAGGCATGTGTCCAGCTGGGGCATAGGTATATTCGAACCCGAGACCACACGATCAGTAGTCGCGTTCAAGGACATTATATCAACGAGACAGTCACAGAGAAAGCATGTGTCCAGCTGTGGCATAGGTATATTCGAACCCGAGACCACACGATCAGTAGTCGCGTTCACGGACATTATATCAACGAGACAGTCACAGAGAATGCATGTGACCAACTGTGGCATAGGTATATTCGAACCCGAGACCACACGATCAGTAGTCGCGTTCAAGGACATTATATCAACGAGACAGTCACAGAGAAGGCATGTGACCAGCTGTGGCATAGGTATATTCGAACCCGAGACCACACGATCAGTAGTCGCGTTCAAGGACATTATATCAACGAGACAGTCACAGAAAAGGCATGTGTCCAGCTGTGGCATAGGTATATTCGAACCCGAGACCACACGATCAGTAGTCGCGTTCAAGGACATTATATCAACGAGACAGTCACAGAGAATGCATGTGACCAGCTGTGGCATAGGTATATTCGAACCCGAGACCACACGATCAGTAGTCGCGTTCAAGGACATTATATCAACGAGACAGTCACAGAAAAGGCATGTGTCCAGCTGTGGCATAGGTATATTCGAACCCGAGACCACACGTTCAGTAGTCGTGTTCAAGGACATTATATCAACGAGACAGTCAAAGAGAATGCATGTAACCAGCTGTGGCATAGGTATATTCGAACCCGAGACCACACGATCAGTAGTCGCGTTCAAGGACCATTATATCAACGAGACAGTCACAGAGAATGCATGTGACCAGCTGTAGCATAGGTATATTCGATCCCGAGACCGCACGATCAGTAGTCGCGTTCAAGGACATTATATCAACGAGACAGTCACAGAGAAGGCATGTGTCCAGCTGTGGCATAGGTATATTCGAACCCGAGACCACACGATCAGTAGTCGCGTTCAAGGACATTATATCAACGAGACAGTCACAGAGAAGGCATGTGTCCAGCTGTGGCATAGGTATATTCGAACCCGAGACCACACGATCAGTAGTCGCGTTTAAAGGTCATTATATCAACGAGACAGTCACAGAGAATGTATGTGACCAGCTGTAGCATAGGTATATTCGAACCCGAGACCACACGATCAGTAGTCGCGTTCAAGGACATTATATCAACGAGACAGTCACAGAAAAGGCATGTGACCAGCTGTGGCATAGGTATATTCGAACCCGAGACCACACGATCAGTAGTCGCGTTCAAGGACATTATATCAACGAGACAGTCACAGAGAAGGCATGTGTCCAGCTGTGGCATAGGTATATTTGAACCCGAGACCACACGATCAGTAGTCGCGTTCAAGTACATTATATCAACGAGACAGTCACAGAGAAGGCATGTGTCCAGCTGTGGTATAGGTATATTCGAACCCGAGACCACACGATCAGTGGTCGCGTTCAAGGACATTATATCAACGAGACAGTCACAGAGAATGTATGTGACCAGCTGTGGCATAGGTATATTCGAACCCGAGACCACACGATCAGTAGTCGCGTTCAAGGACATTATATCAACGAGACAGTCACAGAGAAGGCATGTGTCCAGCTGTGGCATAGGTATATTTGAACCCCAGACCACACGATCAGTAGTCGCGTTCAAGTACATTATATCAACGAGACAGTCACAGAGAAGGCATGTGTCCAGCTGTGGCATAGGTATATTTGAACCCGAAACCACACGATCAGTAGTCGCGTTCAAAGACATTATATCAACGAGACAGTCATAGAGAAGGCATGTGACCAGCTGTGGCATAGGTATATTCGAACCCGAGACCACACGATCAGTAGTCGCGTTCAAGGACATTATATCAACGAGACAGTCACAGAGAAGGCATGTGTCCAGCTGTGGCATAGGTATATTTGAACCCGAGACCACACGATCAGTAGTCACATTCAAGGACATTATATCAACGAGACAGTCACAGAGAAGGCATGTGTCCAGCTGTGGCATAGGTATATTCCATTACTAGATACTTATGACTAAGCTGTTACTTTACATTTATGTTATGGTCTCACAACGCTAAAACGTAGGATTTTCCTACGTTTTCTTCCTAAGTTTTGCAGAATTAATATTGCAAATCAATTTTTGAAAATTTCTACAAGAATGAAAGGTTTTTTTATATATATAAGGTTTTTTTATATTTTTTCCGTCAAAAAATTCTTAGTAGTTGCCCGGAGTCAGGAAGTTGGCGGTGTCTCACCCCCGTGCCTCGGAAAGCACGTAAAGCCGTTGGTCCTGCGCCTGATCTCTTTCCGGTCGTGTCGGTTTACCGTCCCATCAGATTATGAGAGTGAGGGAATAGAGAGTGCACCTGTGCTTGCGCATACACTTGGGCACTATAATCCTGTCCAGCGCCGATGGCTACTCTCCGTCGAGGCTGGCCACAGGTGACCGAAATTCGGTCTGGAGGACATTACTATTATTATATACTATACAACAAACATTATTCGCTCAAGGGGACCAAACTGCGAAACTTTGGGTTTATTACAAGATTGATTTATTGGGAAAGGTTTAACGTTCGGACCTTCGTATAGATCGTGTAATGATAATCCCTACAAAAACATAAATGTGAAATGAGTGAATTGAATTTCAGGACTGAGCATTGAACTTGGCACCCATTTAGATCTCACTTCTTTTGTCATTGAAGTCAACAACCAAGGCAATCATAATATTGAACTTGGCTCTTATTTCACATTTTTGTTTTGATTGGATATCATTACTTTTTGTAGATAAATTATTAGTAGGTACTTATTTATAACAAAATTAATACCAAATGGTTTTTGTTAAACTACTGTATTTTATATGTCTACTTTTGTCTTTTTTGTGTTATTTTCTATATTTTCTTGTACCTTTGATATGTTCGAGTGAATAGCCCATTCAGTATCGCATTTTCTGTTTATACTTAATTTGGCCAAGTCGGGGTGGTATAACGTGCGCAGACGGTTGTACTTTTCAATAGAGCTCTCTTGTGACTTGATTTGATTTAGATTTAAATTGATAAGATGTACTCCATCTAAGGTTTTAGCTCTGGAGAGTCCAAGGTAAGCCTGCCCTCTACTAAATATAGAGGAGCCTATGTCGAGAAGAGCACTGTCAAGGCGAAGGCCTTGTGATTTGTGGATAGTAATAACATATGCCAAGCAAATAGGGAATTATTCCCTGTGAACATATACATTACTTAATATCTGAAACTTGGCAATCGAATGGAATAGGCAGCTTCCATCGGGACGCATTGGAATAATTCGATGTAAGGTAATTGTGTCACCCACCCGTAATTCTATTGTGCGACTTATTGTACAATATACGTAATAAAAAGATAATTATTTAAGACGATTTACTTAATCGTCAATCAAATTACCTGTTATCTATTGAATTCTCAAGAAAAACAATTTGTTTACATACCAATAAGTTCTCATTCTCAAACTCATTCAGAGTTAAGTATACATACATATACCTACTTATAACTATTATAACTATACTAAAATTATTATTAATTTTTGAATTAAACTATTGCCTTATAATACCATCTTATACTACCATCTTATAATACCATCTAGATAACCTACATTAATATAATATGGTTGTGCAATTTAGGTGTGGCAGACGAAGCACAAGAGTAGAATAAATACTGAATACATGCGATCATTAAGGGTACACTAGTCACTCGTTCTTCCATACAAACGTAGTCTGGCGATAACTCCACTGTTTGACGGTGCACGTACAATATAAAAAAATGATTTCAATTTGTCTCATCATTATCTAGCACTGTATGGAAACAAAAAAGTAAAAAAAAGATTATGTTTAAAAGTTATAAGCGTCGAAAATTCCGAATTCTCTTGAAATCTCCGAATCTTTGGGCGGAAATAAATACCATAAGAAGAACGAAAATTGCAAAACAGTTACTATAAAGGGATAGATTAGTTGTTCAAAAATGCAAATAATTTTATTTTGAACAGATACATTCAATAGATTTTTCATGACATCCAGACTCCCAAAGGTCTGTTTATAAAATTTCGCGCGCTCCTTTTTGTTGTAAATCATCTTGCCTTTCGCTACAAATTGTTTCCCCGATCAGTGGGACGGACGGAGGGGGAGGGGGGGGGGGGGGGGGCGCAGCGCGCACCCACATATGCTCACTAGGTTAACCGCTGCTATCTATTTATGGTTTTAATACCTACATATCTGCATCTTTATTTAGAAAAATTGCTTCCTTTTGTTCGTGTCCATTGCTGAAGCCGGGATGGATATAGCTGCTAAAATGTGCCCATAAGTTTGTTCAAGCACATGTAGTTAAAATTCCAAACAGTTAGGTACATTAGGTACTTAACTACTTTAATTTTCCAACTAACGAAAACATCTCATTGATAAGCACGATTGTCGAAAGTCTTAAAATTATCCATTAATTTATTTAGAATAGGTAATTTTTAGATTTTCGACTATCGTGCTTAGGTACTCATAGGAATCTCATATCCTAATATACCTAATGTAATTTATGTAAGTACATAAGAATCTAAGAAGGGCAGTC